CATTTCCAGCACTTTCCTTTATCTTTTTGTCAAATAGCATTTACAAGTTTTCTCATTTACAGTCTTTTCACTTCGAAATCTCTTCTTCAAAGTTTTACATTTTAATGCTTTCTTCATATTTCAAGCACTTTATATTTCAGAAAACTGTCATATTTTCCATACATTTACCTTCAAGTCTTATCCTTCGAACGCATATTTTTACTTAAAAGTCATTTAAAGATTTCTTGCCTTAAACGCTTTCTTCATATTTCAAACCTTTTACGTTCCAGAAACCCTTTATATTAACTGTTTTATAATTCGAAACCATTTACTACACTTTTATGCAATTTTACATGTCTTTACAATTAGCATTCATTCATGTAACTTAGTTTCGCACACGCACATTTTGATTACATCTTTAGACCTTCTGAGAGAGAGATCGAAATAAGCCAAACACTCAAATATCAGCCATGAATATCTGTTTGATCGTGAGAGTAACCTTAATATCCAAGGAGTCCTAGGATCAATCTAGTCGATCCTGTGAGTTACCAGAGGAATTGAATAACAGTAAGAAAGATTATTCGATAGTTTGGAAGACTAGCGGTTGTTTACCAGAAATCACTGGAAACAGTGGGACAATTGGTTGAGAAAGGTTTTTCAGTTACCATGAAGGACAATCTTCTGAAGTTGTATGACTGTAATCAGAAGCTGCTTATGGAGTCAGAACAGGGAAGGAACAGAACATTCAAGGTGAATGTTAGAACTGCAGACTCTGAATGTCTTAGTGCAACAAGTGTTGTCAAGGAGAGTAAGTTGTGGCACAGAAGATTTGGTCATCTGAATTTCAGAATTTTAGGACATCTGAAATCAAAGAATCTGGTACATGGAATTCCTATAATCAAGAAGCCTGAAAAGTCATGCAAGGTGTGCATGGAAGGGAAGCAACCAAGATTACCATTTGCATCAGAAGTAGTTCCAAGAGCAAAACATGTGTTGGGAGTAGTGCATTCTGATGTGTGCGGTCCTTTTCCAGTAGCATCAATTGGAGGGAATAAATATTTTGTGTCATTTGTTGATGAGTTCACCAGAATAACATGGGTATCTCTCATAAAGTTCAAACACAAGGTGTTTGCTGAATTCAAGAAGTTCAGACTGAAGGCTGAGAATCAGAGTGGTCAGACTCTGAAGATTCTTAGAACTGATGGTGGTGGTGAGTATAACTCGACACAATTCAGAAGTTTATGTGAGGAGAATGAAATTGAGCATGAGGTTACTGCTCCTTATACTCCTCAACACAATGGTCTTGCTGAAAGAAGAAACCGTACTTTTCTTGATATGGTGAGAAGCGTGCTGAAAGAGAAGAAGCTTCCTCATACTCTGTGGGGAGAAGCTGTTGCAACTGCATGTTATGTGCTTAATAGATGTCCAATGAAGAAATTGAAGGAAATATTTCCTATTCAGAAGTGGACTGGAGATAAGAAAAGTGTTAGTCATCTGAAGGTGTTTGGTTCTGTATGTTATAAACATGTCCCAGAAGCCAGAAGATAGAAGTTGGATGATAGAAGTAAAGTGATATTGCTGGTGAGGTACCACAGTACAGGTTCGTACAAACTTTATTGTTCAGAAACTAACAAAGTTGAGTTCAACAGAGACGTCATTGTAGAGGAATCAGAAGTTTGAAATTGGGAAAAGTCTTGTCCTGACTCTGATGAGAGAACTTTTGAAGAAAAGTCAGAAATACATGTTTTTGAAGTTGGTAAAGACTCTGACTTTGAAGAATATACATAAGGAGAAGATGATTCTGACTCTGACTCTGATAACGATCCAGACTCTCAAGACAGTCAAGGTTCTTGAGAAAGTCCAATTTCTGAAGCAAGTGCTTCTGAAATGGAAAGCTTTGGTGTCCAAGGTTCTGAAGGTCCAGTTCAGAGGCAACAAAGAGTCAGAAGCATCCCAAGAATATTTGCAGAGTTTGACATATTGCAAGACACTGAAGTAGACTCTGAAAGAGAAGTTATTCAGTGTGCAATGTTAGTATACTCTGAACCTGTGAGTACGGAAGAGGCTCTTAAGCAGCAAGTTTGGTTACAAGCCATGAAAGAAGAACTTGATGCTATAAAGAGAAACAAGACTTGGAAGCTGACAGAACTTTCAAAAGGAAAGAAAGCCATCAGCGTCAGATGGATTTTCAAGCAGAAGCTAAATCCAGATGGATCAATTGGCAAACACAGAGCAAGATTAGTAGCAAGAGGCTTTCTATAGAAGCCTGGGCTGGATTACTTTGAAGTGTTTGCACCTGTAGTGAGACATGAAACAATCAGACTAGTGATTGCAATAGCTACTAACAAGAATTGGCCTCTGATGCATTTAGATGTAAAATATGCATTTCTGAATGGTCCATTAAAATAAGAGGTGTACGTTTCACAACCTCCTGGATTTAAGAAAAAGAATCAGGAAGGGATGGTGTTCAAATTACACAAAGCATTATATGGATTGAAGCAAGCGCCCAGAGCTTGGAATTTGAAGATTGATTCGTTTTTCAAGGATCAAGGGTTTCAAAAGTGTGAGATAGAGTATGGTGTTTATGTTCATAACACTTTGGAAGGTAATATGATTCTGGTCTGTTTGTATGTTGATGACATATTACTCCCAGGAAATTCTGAACAAGGGATAGTTGAGTTTAAGAAAGTTTTGATGAATGTATTTGAGACGACATATCTTGGAAAATGAGTTTCTTTCTAGGGATGAAATTTATGTACTCTGAGAAAGGAATCATTTTGAATCAGATGAAGTATAAACTAGAGCTTTTGAAGAGATTTAAGCTGGAAAATTGCAAAGTTGCTATCACACCTGCTGATACAAATCAGAAGTTGGACTCTAATTCTGATGGAGAGGATGTGGATGCTACAACTTTAAACAGATGGTTGGTTCTCTAAGGTATTTGTGTAATATCAGACCTGATATTTGCTATGTAGTTGGAATAGTTATCAGATTTATGAGCAAACCAAAGTGGTCTCATTACCAAGCTGCAGTCAGGATTCTGAGGTATGTAAAGGAAACTCTGAAATATGGAGTGTTATTTCTGTCTGAAAGAAAGATCGAATCAGAACTTCTGAGTTATTCTGATTTTGATTGGTGCAGAGATAGAGTTGACAGAAGAAGTACTTTTGGGTACTTATTCAAATTTCTGGGAGGTCCTATTTCTTGGTGTTCCAAGAAAAAACTTGTTGTTGCACTGTCAACTTGTGAAGTTGAATATATTGCAGGCGCTCTGACTGCATGTCAAGCTGTGTGGATTTTGAACTTGCTGAAAGATCTGAAGATTGAGGTAAATAAACCTCTAAAGCTGATGATTGATAACAAGTCTACAATCAGTCTTGCCAAGAATCCAGTGTTGCATGAGAGAAGCAAGCATATTGAGACCAAGTATCATTTTCTGAGGAATCATGTTCAGAATGAAATTTTAGAAGTTGTGCACTGTAGCACCCAAAAGCAGCTGGCAGATGTTCTGACAAAGGCTATCAAAACTGATCAATTTCTTGGTTTAAGGGATGAAATTGGTATTGTCAGTTTTGATTAATATAAATTAATGGATGGTGTTAGAATTAATTTAGATTTTATAATTAATTAAATATTAATTTATATTTAGGAATATCTTTTAGATTGTTTATATCTTTGTTAGAAGATATATATCTTAAATCTTCTTATATCTTTGTTAGAAGATATATTTTAGATTTAATTTTGTATATAAATAACCTAATGGAGTAGGTTATTGTAATTCATTTGTAAATCTTTATTTTGAATCTGTCAATAAATATTTTTTTTTGCTTTTTTATCTTTCTTGTGCACCAACATATATACCATTCAAATACATTGACTATTCAATTTTTTTTTTATAAATAGGACAGAGAGAATAATAAGTTATGTTGTAGCAAAAACTAACAAACTCTCCATATTAAAACAATATTTCTTCTTTTCTAAATTATAAATACTTTTAAAATAAGCATTTTAGAGATTATAAGTTATTTTACAACCCAATGTGACATTAATAATTTTTTAAAAATATATTTTCTATTATTTATCATTTTTCTTTATAATTCTTTTAATTTCACTTTCTCCGCTAAAATTAATAATACTCTTTATTTCGTGTGTAATATCCAAAATGACTTATAATTTGTGAGAAAGAGAATAATTAACTTAATGTATATTTTTTAAATAATAAAAAATTATAGCATTTTCAAATTATCATGTATTTTCAATTCATTTCATGAGGTATTATTAAATAAAATAAAATAAAAAATAAAATGTTAAATTTTACTTACATTTTGAATTTGTTAGTCCTAAAAAAATGTCATTACTAGTGCAAAAGCACTACAAGCATCTGATGTAGAACAAACAAGAGATGAGAACACACTTTCACATTCACAGGATGCATACACCCAAAAGTTCCATGGTTCAATTCTCCCAAGCATTGATTTTGACACCAGATACCTTACCCGTGATCACTGACACCCCATTACGTTTCAATACTACTACTATTCAAAAATAAATTACTGCATTAAAGTTCCTGACACACCCCCACTTTCCACATACATGTCCATTCTCATTAATCATTTCACACACCAAACACCAATATCTCATCAACCCTTTCCCACACCACTCATTTATCTTCGTTTCCCAAAACCTTTTCACCCAACTCAAAACCTTTAGCCAGTTCCAAGCTAACCAATTATTATATCAGTAAAATACTAGAAAAAATTTCAAATATTATGTATCCCTCTCACATTTTATATTATTATTTATTTACAAGCAAAAATGATTTTAGATTGTACATTTCTCTAACTATTGTAAACCGCATGGACTTCAAACCAATTCTGCCACGTCACATTTAAGTAAATCTTAAATTAAATCTACTTCATTGGGTCCCATAATCACCCATTAATTTCCAGCTGTAGTCCATTAATTCTTCTTATATTTATTTACATGTAAATCTACGTGTAATATTCAACATTAAAAACTCATTACGTGTCAAAATTTAATTGGCGTGAAACCCTTGAACTCCTATAAGACCTACCCAGCTTCTCACTCAAAGAATGTAACACCTGCCACGTGGCATCTCCTTCCTGGACCCTACTACTAAAAAGCAGTGCTTTCCTTGTCCATGGGTCCCACAACTTCCTCTGAATGACGCTAAGATTACTCGCTGCCACGTTTTCCAATATCTCCGCCAGCCTCCCAACATCCCTCTCCGCCACCGTAACTGAAATTTCCGACCACTTCACGGAGGAGGGAAACGGTAACCGAATACCATCGGCTATAATAACCGGCACACAACCCAAAGCAACAGACTCAACCAACCTTGGACTCCACGGGGCCCACCCCAAAGGACATAAGCAAAACACCGAACGAGCAATCTCTGACTGGTAACCGGCAAATCTACGCCTCTGGAGATAAAACCTCCGGTCACCGTTCAACTTTTGCCATATCACTGTCCTCACTTTCCTTCAAGGACAAAACCGTAAATTCAACACAAAATCCATTTAAAAAATAAGCATGCAAATTAAGAATTTTATTGGAGATTAAATTTGATTACTTGCTGTAAAATCTTCCACTAACGTTCTTAGGATGAACCTCCATTTTTCCACGGAAGAAAACCCAAATATCTCGCCGTCCGTTCACCGGAAAATTCTTCAACGTGTTATATATACTTCCCGGAGAAACAAACGGCGGTATCACAACATGTTCAACCTTCTGACAAGGATGATCATACGTAACGCCAAAAGTTTGTAACACAATCGATTTCTTCATGATTTCAGGTACACCATCTTTGATAGCCACGTCCTCCTTCAAAATCCAAAAAAAAACATGTATAACAACAAGAATTAACAACATAACATAAACTTGTATTGATATTGAGTTCATTATTTATTTATTTATTTATTTATTTATTTACCAGGGTATGGAAACAAGAACCGAAATCATGGGAAGCTACAAAAACATGGTCGGAACCTCTGCTTCGGTTCCAGAAAGGGAAATCAGAGGAGATGAGATGAACTGCCGAAGAAATTAACGAACGTGCGTGACCGATGGCAGGGAAGCCATTAACGGTGCTGAAGTTACAAGAAACGTAAACGGGTACGAAGAAAAAGTCAGCGTCGTAAGGGTCAAAAGTTCGATAATTGCTTGTTGATAAAGCTTCGTGGATAGCAACTTCTGAAGCAAATAAATGAGTTTTGCATCGTGGGTTTGTAAGCCAAACTGTGTTGTATTTTGGAGGAAGATCGTAGATGAATATCTTGAGATTTTTTATATTTGATGTTGTTTTGTTGGTGGAAAAGGATTGAGATTGAGAAATTGATTTTATGATGTGGGTTGGTTTGTGATTGTTGTGGTGATGGTGGTGGTGATCATTGTTGTTGTTGTTGTTGTTGACGAGGTAAGAAGTGAAGAAATAGAGAGAAAGAGAAAGCCAGAGAATCCATTTGAAGTATTTATGGAAAGAGTTGTTTTTTTCTTGTTGAGGTCTAGTACCATATTTGTTGTGCATGAGTTTCATTTTAACATAGTATCCTTTGTTTTTTGAGGATGTTTTCTTGTGACTCTCCATTTCATTTATTGAAGTTGAAGGATGTTGAGAGGTTTAGAGTTTTTGGCAGTTGAGAGGGTGTTTTCGTGTTCTGGTATGGGAAGAAGTGGAAGCGAAGAAACAGTGATGGAGGAGAAGGAAAGGTGTGAATTTTTGTTGGGATTTCGTTATTGAACAAAGAGGATAATTTGTTTTTTATTTTCGGAAAATGGGTGTTTATGTTAAATTAATGTGTTATAGTTGATGCTTTTATTTTAAAAGTTTATATTTTCCTACAGGTTATAATGTAATGTATCTGTATTGTTTGTCTTAGGGCTTTATTCCGAATGAGTGGACATTTTCCTACACAACTATTTTACAATAATTGTTGTATGCGATGATGTCAGACAATTTAAAATTTCTTATAATTGAAAAAATAAGATTTTATTAATTTGTTCTTATTATTGAAAAATTAAACTTGTGTAACCTAATACAAGTTTAATTAGAGTTTCTTAATCTATTTAGTGTATAAGTTAAGTGTATATAAATAATTATAATTTATATTATTATTTATAACAATTCAATTCAATAATACAATCATTACTTTTTTATTCTTTCTTTTTCTCTCCTCACTAAAAGTTTCTTACGCATTAACAAATTGTTATTAGAGCATGGTTAAATTCTTGATCGTATTTTCAATAATCACATGTCAGAGATCGTGTTTTCGAGATTGTGGATTATTGTCAATCAATCGTTGTAAAGATGAATGGTACTAACGACATTATGAATTCTCTTCTAACTTTTGACGGGAAGAATTAGATTTTGTGGAGAAAAAAATGCAATCTCTATTTGGTTTTCATGAAACCCTAGAAATGGTTACTAATGGCGTTCATATGCTGGCTGCAGATGCAACCGACGCACAGAAGACCACTCGTAATTAAACTAAGAAGAAGGATTGCAAGGTTGCGTATTGCATTCAAATGGCGGTCGATGCGGAGAATTTCAACAGGATCTCTCATGTTGAATTGGCAAATGAGGCGTGAGATATTCTTGTCAAGTATTATGAAAGAGGTGAGAAAGTCAAAGTTGTTAAGTTACATACATTGCTTCGACAATAAGAATTATTGTCGTTGAGAGAAGATGAAAAGATTGCAGAGTATGTGTCAAAGGTGCACAAACTCGTGTATCTCATGAAGGGTTGTGGTGAATTCCTAAGTGATAAGATGATAATTGAGAAGGTAATGTGTACGTTAACCTCTCACTTTGATCACGTTATCATAGCCATTCAAGAATCTAATTAATTTGAAACCCTAAAACTAGAAGGTTTGGTTGGTTCTTTGGAAGCGCGTGAGATTAGGACTGTCGAAAGGAAAGGAGTTCAAGGCTCGATACAAGAACTGCAGGCTCAGTCATAGGAAAAGAATGGTGGTTCCAACAAATTCAAAGTCAAATTCGACAAGAGTCAGGGCAAGAAATATTGGTCAAACCCTCATAAGCATCAGGTCAATGATAGGGCTTCTGAATCCTCGAAACAGGAGAAGGAAATTATCAAAAGGACAAAGAAGATAAAAAAAGGTGTGCAGTGCTACCACTGTGAAAGGTGGGGTCACTTGGTCAAGCATTGTTGGTATAGGAAAGATAAGGGATCGACAAAACGTAAGGACAAATGAGTGAACCTTGCATGCCAAGATTCATATGATTATGAAGGTTTGGTGGTTATGGCAGTAGTTGTAAATAACCATGTCCAATCCAAGATCTGGTTCATAGATTATATTGCTCGAATCAGATGAGTGGTCATAAGATGAGGTTGGCAGATTTTGACGAGTTGAAGAAGAGCAAGGTAAAACTTGCTGATAATAATTCATTGCAAGAAGAAGGTACTGGTAATATAGTTTTTCAAGTGATTAATAGAGGAAAAGTTATAATGAAAGATGTATTATATGTACCTGGAATAAAGTGCAACTTGTTAAGTGGTGAACAACTGGTCGAAAAAGGTTTCTCAATTGTCATGAAAGATAGAGCTTTAAAATTGTTCGACACCCAGAACAATTTGGTTTTAAAATATCTGATGTCAAAGAATAGGACGTTTAAGACCATGATCAATTCAACTGAAGTACAATGTATAAAAACTGTTTTCGACCATAGAGATAGTTAGTTGTGGCAATTGAGGTTTGGACATTTGAACTTTCGATCAATCAATCAATTGATTACTCAAGATATGGCAACTAGTATCCCAATTCTTATGATGCCCGACAAACTCTGTGAAGGTTGATTAGTCGGAAAGCAATCCATAAATTATTTCATTTTGACTATGCCAATGAGATCATCATGCATACTCGAAGTGGTATATTCATATGTATGTGGCTCGTCCAAAGAGCATACCATTGGTGGAAATAAATATTTTGTTTTTTTTTTGTTGATGAGTTTAGTCGAAAGATCTAGATCTATGTGATTAAGCAAAAGGATGAAGTATTTGAAATCTTTAAGAGATTCAAGATACTTGTCAAAAACCAAAGTGGGGAGAATATCAAAGTTATACAAACAGATGAAGTTTGAAAATATATGTGCAGAACATGGTGTCGGTCATGAGGTAATGGATCCCTATACTCTTCAACATAATGGAATTGCAGAAAGAAGAAACGAGATCATATTGGATATGGCGAGATGCATGCTGAAGCAGAAGAATTTTCCAAAATCCTTATGGAGAGAAGATGTTTCAACTGTAATTTATATTTTGGACAGGTGCCCTACCAAGAAATTGAAGAACAAGATTTCTGAAGAAGTGTGGAGTGGCAAACGACCATTAGTGAGTCATTTAAAGGTGTGTGGCTCTATGTGTTACAAGCATGTTCTTGATGTAAGAAGAAGGAAGCTTGATGACAAGAGTGAACATATGATTCTGGTAGTATATCACAAGACTAGTGCATACAGAGTATTCAATCAAATTAATGAGAAGGTTGTATTAAGTTAAGATATTGTGATTGATGAAAGTTTTACCTGTGATCGGAATTATGGTGATGTAATTAACAAGCCATTGATGAGCTATGATTTTGATGAAGTAACTGATGAAGTCAAAATAGAAGAAAAAGACAATATTCCAGTCCAAGTCCAAGTCCAAGAAGTTTCTAACATTACTGACACAATCAAAGTCGAATAGGATGTGGGTAGCACAAGCCAAAGACCTCAAAGAACTAGGGTTCATCCAACAAGACTTCAAGACTATGAAGTGACTAGTGATGATGAAGTAACACCAGATGGAGAATTAGTTCATTTTTTTTACTTTCAGGTGATGAACCAATCAACTATATTAAGGCTTTGAAGATTAAATAGTGGAAGTTAGCTATGGTCGAAGAGTTATAGGCTATCGAAAGAAACAACACATGGGAGTTAGTTAAATTGTCAACACACACAAAAGTTATCGAAGTAAAGTGGATGTTACAGTTAAAACACAATTTTGATGGGTCGATATCAAGATATAAAGCAAGATTAGTAGCTCGAGGTTTTCTTCAAAGAGCAGGACTCGACTATTATGAAGTATTTACTCCAGTAGCAAGATTGGAGACTATTCGACTAGTAGTATCATTGGCATGCAACCATGGTTGGTCAATATTTCATTTAGATGTGAAATCAACATTTTCGAATGGTCCTTTAGACGACGAGGTCTATGTCACACAATTCCAGAGTTTGTGATTCAGAAGGAAGCAAGTAAAGTATATAAGTTACACAAAATGCTATATGGCCTCAAACATGCATCTAGGGTATGGAATAAGAAGATCGACTCATACTTAGTCAAATTGGGATTTGTCAAATGCAAGTATGAGTATCGTTTCTATGTTTAGGTTGTGGAACAAGATGTTAGAACAAAGTTTGAATCTACTACCCTATATTTAAGTTTTGATGATAACAAAGTGAAAAGATATAGTATTTATAAGTTTCATGTATGAACTATCTGCTGCCTAAAATTATTATGTTCTGACTTGCAGATACTCTGATTGATATAAGCAAGATCACATCTATTCAGCATCAGAACTTGATTTCAGACACCAGCATCAGAAGTTGCCATATCAGAATGTCAAAATCAGATGATCAACTCACGTACATGCTGAAGCCTGATGAACAAGACTGCGCTCAACACTCTGATAAAGAAACACAACAGTTCATCAGCAGCGAAGCAGAGTCAGAATGAGCCAAGCCAGAACTTGCATTAAGTAAGCAAATTAATTCCAACGGCCTCATTCCAGACAAGATCTGCTTAATAAGGAAAGCTTGTTATTAGCATTGAATCAAGAATATTGCATCCAACGTTCATCATCTCAGTGCTATATAAACAAGACTTTGAAGATTGAAACGGCTAATGCTCTCCAAATCTCTACACGCACAAAAGCTAATTATAATCTTCTTTCTCTCAGTTTTGCTAAACCACACACTCTGATATTTTATCATTGTTTAGCAATCTAGTTTCTAAGCTTCAATTTGTGTATACATCACAGTTGTGATAAAGTTTTGTAGAAAACATTCACACACTTAGTTTTATCTCTTTGTAAGAAAGTGTTACCTTGACAAACCGGGTTGTGGTTTGGATCAAGAAGGCTTTAGCAGTTGTTAAAGCAGTCTGTAATATTCAGTTGAATATAGTGGATTAAGACCTCGTTGGAGAGAGGCGAAATCACCTTGACGGGTGGACTGGAGTAGTTTGAGATCAAACGAACCAGGATAAAAATATCTTGTTCATTGCATTAGATTTCAGTTTTACAATTCAACCCCCCCTTCTTGTGTTTTTCACCACTTCAATTGGCATCAGAGCTCCTGGTTCTGAGCTAAAACACTTAACCGTGTCAGTACAAGATCCAGCGTCAGAAAAACACAATGGCAGGAAACAATTCTCACATCAGCAATGACAACAATGAGGACAGAGACAGATTCAGTGGCAAACCTCCAGTCTTTGATGGAGAAAACTTTGATTACTGGAAAGACAGAATTGAAAGCTTCTTTCTGGCACATGATGCTGATCTGTGGGATATGGTGACAGATGGATACACGCA